TGGGATTTGAAAAGTCTTTTTTGGTTTTTGAGTTATGTTACATCTGAGCAAAATGCATGCCGTATTCAGGAAAATTGCTTTGAAATAGATAATTTGAAATTGAGCATAAATTACAAATATAACTTGACAACTAATTATACATTTTGTATTTTTTCAAACACAGTTATTGACATTCTGTAAAGTTACCTGAATGTTCTTTGCAATATGGAAATTTTATTATTTAAATTGTGGAGGTTTTTATATTTGTTTGAATTGCATTAGTCATTAACGAAATTATGTTTCAAAGTAAATTCGGTTCGTTATTAATAGGGAAGAGTTATTGTTGAAAGCTGTGATGTGGGATATGATGTTGTGAACACCCGAGGGACGCATATCACCAGAGGCGAATCCGAAGGGTGCTATGCACCCGACATAGCAGGGGCGTAAATCCCTGAGGGATGGGGGTATATATCCCCCCATTTTTTTTGACTGGGGGATGGGCTATTGAATCTTCCCTCCCCCCCCCCATTTTTTCGTGATGAGAAAAAAAAAATGATTTTGAGGTTATTTTTCAACATCCCAATCACCAAAATGTATTCAGTAGCACTGAAAAGTGTTGAAACGAGCAGCAAAAGATTAAATAAATGCGCCTATTTGATGTCAGTACATACATAGTGATATATACATCTATATACAGAAGGGCGCCCCCTGGTGAAATATGGTGTCATCCTCCCCCCCCCCCCTCCGCTTTTCGAATTTGCACGGGCGGGCAATTTCTGGAATTTGGTCATTCCCCCCCCCCCCCCCCCCCCCCCACTCGCCGGCACAGATTTATGCCACTGCGTCCGAGGGTGTTCAGAACGTCGTATCCCACATCAAAACAGTCAACAATTGTTTTGTTATACCTTTGTCTCTGATGTTTTGGACTTTGATGGAAAAATCACGAAAACAATCAGCAACGGTTAACACAACAATCAGGACAATCGAAAGTCAACTCACATGCATGTCGAGTGCAGCTCGACACAGCTGATCGTCTGCTAGTTCGCTGCTCCTACTCATGTTTGAAAACATTGTGAAAATAGCGTGGGTACCAACGATACAAGTGTTTGCGTGTATACGTAGTACGTGTATCCTACAGGGAGTGTGTCATGACTTGTTTATAAACTTAACACGTGATCGTCCTACTCCAACGAAAATACAGTATTCAAGACAGAGGTATAACAATTGCTTTGAAATAAACTCATAGTGAACAGAATGCTTCACACTATTATGTGTCGTGCTGTGGCCAGACTGAGTGAGAACCCAATGTTTTCGCATGATATTTAAATTGATCACTTTATAATGGTTAATGTAAGGATGGTCCTACATTAGGGGAAGAACACAGTTTTGAAACAATTTATGAACTCTATAATGTTCGGGATCAGGCTAAAAGCACACGTTCTTTCCTGCAACCCACATTTTTTAGCTATTGGCGAATGCTAGAAACCCTATTGGCTTTTAGCAAAACCTGGTCGTTTTGGTAACAAAAAATCATGTACGTAACCAATACTTATTTTGCATTAAAATACCGTCATACAAATTGAAACAACTTAATAACTTTGAACAATTTTGAACAATGTTAATAAAATGTAGAAATGGAGAAATTCTGGGCAAACGGTAAACGCTTCCTAAGTATGTTTGTTTTGTTGTCCATTTTGGTCTTCCCCTTAACCCTTATAAGTTACGTCCATTTCGTGAAAAGAAAAGCTGAAAACACGCGTCCGTTAATTCTATACACAACAATAAGCTATAGTCACAGCCCCTCCTCCTCCCCACCCAGTTTTAGACATTTCATTTCATCACGTAACCGAGAAAGAAGAATCGTTCTTTGGTGTCTCAATATATTGGACAATCCTGTATTCCTATTTAAGAAAACAAGTAGTGTAGAAATGGTAGTAGAATAGACCGCCCTTTTTCATGTTCCCCCAATGAAACAAAAAAACAAAACATTTCCTCGAGTGCCGCAAGACAACTTAAATCTTTCGTTTCAACAAACCCCACTCCCCTGAATCTGGTGTTTTTAAATACTTAGTCCATTTCGTGAAAAGAAAAGCTGAAAACACGCGTCCGTTAATTCTATACACAACAATAAGCTATAGTCACAGCCCCTCCTCCTCCCCACCCAGTTTTAGACATTTCATTTCATCACGTAACCGAGAAAGAAGAATCGTTCTTTGGTGTCTCAATATATTGGACAATCCTGTATTCCTATTTAAGAAAACAAGTAGTGTAGAAATGGTAGTAGAATAGACCGCCCTTTTTCATGTTCCCCCAATGAAACAAAAAAACAAAACATTTCCTCGAGTGCCGCAAGACAACTTAAATCTTTCGTTTCAACAAACCCCACTCCCCTGAATCTGGTGTTTTTAAATACTTAGTCAGGGTGACAGCTATGTTTCCTGTCGTGCGGCCGCCGGAAAATCATTCTAAAAATGTTGGAGAAGCGCTGAATAAGTCCTGACAGATGAGGGTGCTTTTCCAAGTTGAAAAGATTGTATTTGTTTTCGTACGTAACGTTGGTTAAGTAGTGGTTCTGAGGTGGCGATGCTTTCATGTTCTTATCGAGAAAGGATATTGAGCATGGATACTCCTCTGTTATAGGCGTAGGGTGTTTGGGGCTGCAGGATACGTTTTCTTTTGCCTATGATTGTTTATTGTCCTACTGTATCACCACTGCTTGAATAAAAAGGGAATAAAATGGAAAGAGGAGTTACATGTCCAAAAGTAATGCCCTCGAAAACACCTGTCAACCTATTCTAAGTATTTTGTGTGATGCCGGATGTTTAGGATTTACATGTTTACATGCCACGGACACACGTAGTTACTTCAGGAATGGTCTTTCAACGATCCTTGATCCTCAAAACATGGGTCATGGGTTGCGTGTGCAGTTATGTGCAATATTGGCCGAGATATGCTAAACCAAAAAAAATGAATTCTATTTATTCATTTGTTCTTTCTATTTTTTTTTCTTTTATTTTTTAAATTATTTTGATTATTATTAATATTTATTTATTTATTTTAAAATATTTTTTGTATTAATTTGTTTACTTATTTTTTATATTTTTTTTTTTTTGGGGGGGGAAGGCAATGGCTTTTTATGGCGCTCATACGCCACGGACACATATTGTCAATTCAACGATAATTGTATTATGATATTTGACCCTAGGCCCTAACAACATGGGTCTAGCCATCTTATTTGTTAAGTTATCTGCAATATTGACTGATATATAGTGAAAAATACATTTTTCGGTTATGGCGGCACTTATTTGCACAAAAAGATACATGCGACAATTTTACATTTTGTTAACAAACCAAATCGTTTTCTACGCATGTTGGTATAGAAACGTCGATTACAAGTTGAGTTGTGAGGGTGCACGATACCCGCTTCTTCCCACTAAGCTAATAACACTAGAAGATGTCACGCAGGATACAGATTGAACGCAATCAAATAAAGTGATCGTTCAAGTCTTTTCGGTGTTGGATGAGTTGCCATTTAATGCATTAATTAATCGTGTAAGAAAGATTATTTTTTTTAATAGGTGGCTTGCTCCATTTCATGAAATAACAAAGGCATAAAGGACATGTTATTGACAAATACATGTAACAAATCACGTGATTTGCATGCTCTTTTTCCAAGTTATATCTATTATGACAATAAGATCATACAATTCAGCTGTCTACCATGGGTCTCGACCGTTTTACGAACTGAAGAATACCCATTGAATACAATGGAATATGGACGTTTTCCCACCTCTATGGATGAACGAAAGCTTGCACAGAAAAATTAACATAAATCGCTTTTAATATTGACTTGTTCCTCATATTCAAAACACAAATCTGACAGTAAAACTAATGCATCAGTCTTGATTTAAATGATTAAAAATCTCATTTGTATTTGAATGTCTGTGTGTAATCTGTAATTATCATTTTGCTCAATAGCTTCAAATTGCATTGCATGGACAGCATAAAAAGGGGTTTTGATAAAACAAGCATACCATCTGATAACATGAAAACATTTCAGTATTTGTTTCCAGAAGGACATGCTCTTTATGGACATCTTCATTTTTTTTCTGAAAAAAAAATGAATCCGGGTCACTTTCTTTCTGTCTTACCCTGTATACAATAATTTACAGGTTAAAAAATTACACCAACAATTTAACATTAACATTAAACTCACTTCATTAAAGAAGTGACGACTTCACAGCTTATAATTTAGTGCTTACATGTGTACAAAACTACACAAACAACCCTATTTTTATGAAAGAACATTAATATATAAATTTGAAGAAAACAAATAATGTACATATGAGACTGAATCAAACATGTCTACCGGCAACATTACGTTAAATGTTTGAAACAGCAGAGGTGCATCAAAATGTGTGTTTGAATACACTTAATGAATGAGGGCCAACATCCTGATATCTGATATTCTGGATGTTCCAGACACAACAGCGTTTTTCGCCATATCCATCTCGCTCTCATATGAACGCACACACAAAAAACACAGAGTCCTAACGACTTGTTTCCCATACCTTCTGTGGACATCCTTTTGCTCACATGCAATTAAGAGAAAGCCCGCTGCCACGTGCAAATGAAGGCTCTTTGAAAATGAATATCTCAAACTTAGTAACCCTGGACCCCCAAATGCCAAAATGATCATCAGAAAGTGAAGAAAACATTGTATTGACCATTGCAAGTCCACGGAACATCTTACGCTCTCGCCTAATGTGGACATCTTTTGTTCACAGGTCCACACAGCGACCGTAATGCTTGTACACGAATAACACAAAAGCCTAGTAGCTTGATTTACACAGCAAATAGTTAGCACATACATAAACAGAAAGGCCATTTTATGCTGCATCAGTGATGTCCTTGGTTATATAATACGTGTCCAAATGCATATGTCACGTGAGTGTGCAATCGACTGGTAAAACTCTGGGTGCAGCAGCTCTGCAGAGACCCGAGTAATGTAACAAAAAAAAAATTCTGCAACTCCTTATCACAAAAACAATATTCACACGCTTGAACCACATCCACATTTTACCCCAAATACAGGACAATTTCGAATGATTGAAAGTAAGATCCAGTAGAACTCAAATGACAACTCAATCTTCTAGATTACATTAATTTCAATATAAGCAGTTCGTTCGGTCACCGATTTTAGTCAGTCAGATCGAATTCTCACTCGAATAGAGTGAAGTTTCTGTAAGGTAAAATAAAGAGTAATACCACATGATGCACGCTTAAAAAGCTGAAATGAAATCAATCCATCTTCATAGCAATGCACCTGCGGTAAACACACCAGCAGTAAACTTTTTTTCTCTCCAAAATTCACTATTTGGTGAAGTGGTTATCATATTTAAGGCAAACGTATATATAACAAAAATCTGTCACATAACTTCAGCGAACTCTTTTCTTGTCTTCCTTCCTCGTTTCATTCTTTGTTTAGCGCCTTTTTATTGTGTGAATAACGGTTTAGAGTGAAGTTAATCCAATTGAACATTTTCCATTTACGTTTACTAAATATAATCTTTTTCAAAGTACCTCAATCCTTCAGTGATTTTCACTCTGAATCTGCTGGTTTTTTTTAACCGAGCATATGTTTTATGACCTTAATTGTCCTTATTTCATATAAGAAATATCACTTGACGGAGAAAGCTTTGTGTCGCACTTTACGTCTCGAACAACAAGGCGAATTCTGCAACGAAAATAAAAGGCAAAGGTAGTTTATTTATTTCTCAGAAATGCGGCAAAGGGACGCACTTCTTTGAACATTTCTAGGGTAGCTACCATTTTATATTCCTAATATAGGCCTATGTACTTTTTTAGGTGAAAGGAAAACTTTAGTTTTGTTTTTAATTTTAATGTATTTTGTTTCTGAATGGCCTTCCAAATCTAACCTTTTGATAGTTCATAAACTCTGTTTTTTTAAACATATTTTCCTCCTAAATCTTCATAATCATATTCACACTCTATTTATTGTATTTTTAATTATTTTCCTTTTTGAGTTAACTTTATCAATGTATATTTTTTAATCTATCTATAAATGTAAGAATGTCTCAATTCGGCCTTTAGCCGCGATGACGTTTTATTTTTATAAACCATTTCAAATCTAATAATAAAATTCTTCAAACAATTGTGTACATATTCAAAACTGTTCATTTCATTGCTCAAAATATGGCCCAAGGTTGCCTTATAAGTGTGGTTGAAAACGGTGTTTTTTTTTAGGACAGGTGTTATGTTTAAGCAGCCGTACGCTAAACTTCGTTCCCATGGAGTTGAACAATACGCTTCCACTACCTAGTCCCTTATCCTTGTATTGGATCGTTTGAACGTTTCAAAAATCTTGCACTTGCAAATTAGGTATGGAGTAGTCTGGTGGCTGGCCATGCTTCAAATCGCTGTTTGTTTCTGTAAGCTTTGTTTCCGGTACAAATGGAATCAAATTGAAAACACGATTTGTTTACCTTCAAATTATAATGTTACAGTTTTACCTGTCCGACATATAGTGTTACATTAAATGATATGAACAAAATGGACGATTGGAATGATTGTTTTTGAGTGCATGCAATAATTCAAAAGGAACGTCAAAAAAATGTAATACCTCTAATAATTATTGCTATAATTACCTTCGAAATTGAGCGTTCCAGACCCGGTGATGTCAGCTTCCTTGCAGATCTCTTCCACCTCGTGTTTGGGGATGTCGATGAATTCTTGGATGTTACTCAGTACATACCGAAGCTCAGCTACACTGCACACAAGATACGATGAGAAGCCAATATAAAACCCAGAGCCACCCCAGAAAATGTATCAGGTAGTACTGAGTCTATTGAAACAAATTACAGTGTATCACACTTTTCCACAAATTCTTTCTTCTTATGAGCCAGCAGGTTTGTCCATAAAGACAATACAGTTCAAACACTTTCAGAATGACATATAAACACATTTGGACTGGATTTTTTGTTTTGGCGATATAACATAATTTGCGATACAACAAACTTGCTCCCTCATTGATTAATGAAGAATCGCCTTCAGAAAACTACTACACAGATCGAAGCAATTTATTTATAATACGACGATAAAACGCAGGACAAGTTGAATTGCCCATTTTTTCTAGCTTTTAAATTCAACCAAAATGTTCTTGTTTGTGTTTGGTAATTCACTGTCTCCCTAGTGCTAGTCACCACACCATTATTGCGAGTGGCTGGCTGAGCGGAATGTCACTGCACCTACAAAGGTGTGCAACAAACCCCTTGCATAGGCCGGTTGCTGTTCCTCTGTAATTACGCATAAGCCATACATTACATTTGAATAAGGCATAAGAGCTTTCATTTATGCAAACATTTCAATTAAAATGGTTCTCGGTGAAGGCGCTATATAATTATGTGAATGGAAATAGCATTATTTCCATCATGAGGGACAGCACAGATATAAAAGCAATAAATCAACTTTCTTTGTCTGTTGCATTCCCGCATTCCAACATAAAGGTCATCGCCCGCAAGAATACTCACGACTTCCTTTTATGAGAATGAAGAAAGAGAAGGTATTTTCCGTTTTTGAGCCCGTAGAATTGGGCCCAATATTTGAAAAGACCGACCTGATAGACCCCACCCACCGCGCAAGTAGTCAACATCACGTGCATTACCATAATGCCAAACTGCACGAAGATGCGCGCATCTTGCGCATGTGCACCATTGTCGGACGTTAAGTAAGTCGTTGATTGGTCAAAATACTGTAGGTTGGGCTAAATGTAGAAACTTACTCGAAGGAGCCTTTATCCTCCTTATCAAAGGCTCGGAATGCTTCCCTTATTCCTTCGTCCCTGTCCAAGACCTTCAGACGTTGCGTCATCAGTAACATAAAATCCTCAAAGTTCACCAGACCGTCCCCTTTCGAAACACCGATTCAGCAGTTGTTAGGAATAAAAAGCATAACTTGGGCTGTGTTTATAAAAACTGCCTGCGTATAATTACAACTCCATGCAAACATTTTCAACAAATGAGGATGCTATATGGACGCCAATGTAGGGTACAAAGACGTGAAACCCAGGGTGTATTCAAAATCCCGTTCTCGTGATGAATGAACATGAGAACGGTGTTTCAATTCACGAGAATCAACACGCGAACGGTGTTTGCGATCGAACAGGATTTCCACTCACCACTTTTACTGGTATGGATAGTACATGAAGAACGCCATAACAATGATGGCACACTCAGACCATCACAACTTGCATTATTGTGTGTGTGCATAAAAGTGAAAGCGCTCATTTCACGAAGCGCTGCAACGCTACTTTCAACGCGTTATATGATCCATTTCACAGTGCAATCAATTAAACTTCTTGGCATACTTATTCAGAGCAATTTGAAATGGGACGCACATATTACCGACCTCATTAAACGTGTAGGTAGAAAACTTTACATGCTCCGTCTTCTTAAAGGCCACTGTTTGCCTGTCCAGGATCTACTTATTATTTACAACAGCTACATCAGACCGCTTCTTGAATATGGAGCACCAGTATGGGATGGGGGATTAACCACCGCCCAGTCTGACCAGATCGAAAGCATCCAAAAAAGAGCTCTACGAATACGTGGTTATAACAGTTATTCCGAGATGCTATGTGAGCTCGGGATTTCCCCCTTGAAACAAAGAAGAGAATCTCTATGTACATCATTCATCGAAAGAACATTGAAACAAACTGAACAATTTAAGGATTTTATCCCTTCTCCTCCAAAAATGAAACGTACACTAAGAAATTCGAATAAAGTCCCACAACTTAAGTGTAAAACAAATAGAATGCAGAATAGTGCCATTCCTCATCTGGTACATCTGTATAACTCTAATCCCAAATGAAATGAATTGATTTTAACCTGCAAGCTTTTATTGTATTTTACAAGTTTTAACGTTATTTTAATACTCCCTTTCATTTAAATAAGATAATTTGACTGCCACACATCTTGCACAATTTTTAAACTCATTCATCATCTGGCTCATTTTTATAATTCTAATCCTAAATGAAACTATAAATTTTTTACCTGCAACCTTTTTGAATGTCTTTTATAAGTTTTAACGCAATTTCAATGCCCCCTTTTTAAAGTAAGATAAATTGATTGCAACACAGTCTGTAACAATAATATGTATTTCTCTATATAGACAACTTTCTTTAGTCAGATCTGTATGCACAATGTTTAAACCTTTTCTAATATTAGTATTTAATGTCATATTTTGTTTTTTAACTTGGTAGACCTTTAACTTTTTTAAAAATGTATTTTTTTTAATGTAAATCACGTGCAATTCAGCTGTGGCTGCCATTCGTGATTTGTTAATAAACCATGTTGAATTGAATTGAATCTAACGTCCGCCATTTAGTATTACGACACTCTAAAACAAATATTTCAAGAGGAGATCTGACAACTGTTTGCTGAACAACAGACTATTATTTACTTTGGGTTGTTGTGCTATAAATGTGAAATGAATCGCATGACTCGTCGCAGGGACACGACGTGTCGCAGCGCTGCGATGCATCGTAAGTTACGATGAGTTTCTTGAATTATGGTGCAGAAGCAGTAATGATTAATTTAGAGAAATGTACGTTATCATATTATGGGCTTGTCTTTGTCAACTTTTATAGCTGTCCCGGGATATCAATTGTTTTCCTAAAATCATTTGATATTGATGTACAGAGTGTCTCAGAAAAAAAATACACCGTAACTTTAAGTGTAAAAATAAGCGTCAAAATTGAAAAAAAAAAACATCAAACGGGAACATAAAGTGATATTATTTTGCTATATTGTAGTGAAAACCGCATTTGATTTGGTTGAGTAGTTACGAAGACATGATCAATTATGTGACACTAGTCAAAGAACACTTCCTTCCAAGTCTGCTCAGTATACTGAATTTAACTACCGCTGATGGCTCGCATTATCTGTTCAAGCTACCTGTCCTCATTTCATTCCTCAATGAACCAACATTGTTGAATATATTTTATGAGATCAATATATTTTGTTCGCATTATTACAGTACTGAATGATTAACCGTGAGAATTAAAACAAGAAAACGAAAATGAAGAACATTTACGTTATATCAATGTAAAGAGGTATTGATTACTTTTTGGCCTGTGCTGTCTGAATAACTCATTATACGCAAACTTAGAAGAACAAGAGCTGCATTATCGCTGATTTCTTTGTAACTACTGAACGAAAAGAATTGCAGTTTTCACCACAATGTAGCATAATTATTGCACTTTATGTTTCCGTTTGATTTCTTTGTCAATTTTGATATTTAGTTTGGAAGTTGCGATCACTTAACGTTAGGGTGTATTTTTTTCTTGGAAATCCTGTATTTTTTGTTCAATCACGCGATATGTTCATGCATGTGTATTAGCGAAAAAATAAATAAACTTGGTCAAAGTACAAACAACTGACCATTTATATCGGCCTCGTTGATCATTGCATGCAGCTCAGTATCCGTTGGATTTTGGCCGAGTGACCTCATAACAGCACCCAGCTCTTTCGAGGAGATAAATCCATTGCCATCCTTATCAAACACCTCAAAGGCAATCTTCAACTCTGCATGACAAAGGAGAGAGAAGTATTCAAGAAAGTAAAGAAGGATAAATCTCATTAAATATCCAGGGTAAGTTACAGTCATGCTTGTCTGCAAAGAGGAACTATATCTGGAAAAAAAAATAGGGCGCTATATAACAAAGGAATTTTCTAGGTACAAACACAAGATGTAATCCTTTAATTGACGCAGTTTAGTACCTTTCATTCAATCTACAAACATACAGATTGAAAACATATAATGTTAGAGTTGTTGCCATAATTGTGTGTGAATTAAAGTCATGTACTTTGGATTTATGTATCAGTGATGTAGTGCCTTGATGCTGGGCCTTGGCCTTAAGGCTGCCTTAAGGCTGGATTTTAGGGCCTTGGCCTTGGCCTCGAGGCTTGAGGGCAAATGCCTTGGCCTTTGCCTTGGCCTTGAGGGTTCAGGGCCTTGCAATTTTGAGTCAAGGCTCTTCAAGGCCCACAGATTTTTGCATTTTCCAGATAAATCTGTTCGAAATTTTGCTGTTACCATTTTAATCCTATTACGATGGAGGAGGGAAGCACCATATAGATTTGTGTGTTGGGCACACTTCCACTTTTATAGCATCAAATGTTGTTACCATTGTAGTAGATTTGCTGCAACAATATTCCGTACACTTGTGGGGCTAATGAGATGATCACTTTAATTGCATATAACTATGGAATAGATCTGATTGGTTGTATATGTCTCCCTGATAAGTGCTAAAGATTTGCATGTATCTGTTTTAGATAATGCTGATATTTCTGACCATGTTGGGCCAGCAAATAAACATTTCCAAAATCAGTTTCTTGGATCCCCTTTTGTTACACTTGGGAGCATTGTGTGTCAATATACATGCAGAAGTAAATCATTATTTTGTTTAGTTAAACCATATTGAAGACCTGAACTTATACTTTAATAGATACAGTGCAGTCATAAAACGGTGTAGGCCTATGCGAGCATGTTGATTGCAATTAAAGAAATGTTGTTCTTCGTAACGAGCAATTCGTGATGATAAGGGCGGATCCAGGGGGGCCAAAAGGGGCCATGGGCCCCCCCCCCAAAAAAAAACTAAACCATTTTTGTTTATGTGACGTCGTAATAAAGGCAGGCAATGAGTACACCACCATCTTTTCCTCAAAAAACATCGGTTAAAATGGTCAGAAATTGCCTCAAATCGCACCACAGAGTATCTCGAATCCAAAATTTTTTCGGGGCCCTTAAGCGGGCCCCGAAGCCCAAGCCGTAATTTTTTGACCCACTTTTTTTGGGGGGACCAAAATTTCTTTGCCCCCCCCCCAAATTGTGTTCTGGATCCGCCCTTGCGTGATGATGTGTCACTCATGTGACTATAATTAGTTCTATATCAGTGGTCATTTCATAAAACAGGGCCTTGGCCTTGGCCTTGGCCTTGAGGGTGAAGCCTTGGCCTTGGCCTCGAGGCTTGAGGGTCAAAGCCTTGGCCTTGGCCTTGGCCTTGAGGGTCAAAGCCTTTGCTCCAACACTGGTATGTATAATACACCAAAAATCTTCGTTATAGTGTACTTATTCACTCAAAAAAGGGGCGTATTGAGTACAGCAGCCTCCATGTGTTGTTTGAATACAACGTTCAAACGTATTTTTCGATGTTTGCAGTGAAACTTGGGAAACCTTAGCAAAACGCTTTTAAAACAAAGACTATGCATGTCGGACGACGGAAGAAGTTGACTACTCACCATTGATCTGAGCTTCACTCAGTTCCTCCTCCCTCTCATCCGTCTCTTCGTTCTCTGTTGGTTTACTATTGGCCTGTGTGATGGAAACATAAAACAAACACAAAACAAGGGTTGAGTCATCTCGTCAAATATCTGGAAAGAGGTGACAACATTATCCCCATAGAGTCATTGTTTTTGGTTATTGCGGTATTCCGACAACTTCCCCCAAATCTTCCAGCATCTGAGTTTCCAAATTCAACGTGGTGAAGAAGTCATTGAGACATGATGACTATACTATGAGGATAATAGAATGGTGTCATTTTGAATCGGTTTCAAAATGTGTTTTTTTATTGAACTAAATTAGCCTTTTCGATTGTGTCCGGCTTTATTATCTCGGGAAGATTCCTGACCGTTTGTTGTCAGAATGCTGCAACGATGCGAATTACATAATAATGTTATTTGTGCATAAACGTCTTGGCAATTGATTTTGCAACTTGTTGCAATTTTGTAACCAGAGGGCGCCCTGCTGGAACTGAAGAGAACTCTCAACAAGAAATCCCAAAACGTAAGACAGAGAAAACCGTTAGAAACAAGACAATACTCTAGTGTGTGAAATAACCTGAAACAAAATTAATCTGAATACTGGTGCTGCATGTGAAAAAGTATTCAAAAAAGTAAACATCTTGAGGATAAGATGGACAGTATGTCCAATCTGATACAAATGTACACAAGTGTGAAATGGTTAATTAAACTATTATTATTTATAATTCCATTTGGGATCCCAACCTTTGAACAAAGAATATACAATAACAGCATGTGTCCATCGTGGAGAATTTAACTGGCAGATACTGTATTTTGTTACGGATGATAAAATGTAACATGCCTATTACTTTTCCCTGTTAACGTCAGTACTGCTTTTGACACCATAATTTTTTATATTTCATAAAAAAACTGCCCAACCCTTATTAAATAATTTTACATGAAATACAAGAACAAGCCATGTTTCGGCCTATGAATATTGCGTTGATAATTCACCTCGCAGTATTGCTGGTATATTTAATATGTAATCCACGCACGAGGTTTGCTTACTAGGAAAGTGCGGGTAGAGTTTCAACACAGTATGCCGTGTTGTATCAACTGAAGAGTTTATCGGAAGAGTAATACGGGGAAAGTATAGACTTTCCATTGCTGAGCCTATTGTAGGCCTATTGTAGCCTGCTGCTAACTTGGTGACATATGGCAAAACATGTAATGATATTCCAGCATCGACCGATTAGTTATACACAAAGCAAATAGCCGCCTTACTCAGTAGTGTTGGCCTATCACTATTGGCAGAGGGAACTATGACAAATGTTAATAGTGGAATGCTGGGCTCAAAGAATTATACATTAATTTTCCTCAGAAAATTTCAGGTTGTATGTATGTTGTATCTAGAAGGTTTTTCGCTTTATATTTGAGCGTGTGCATTCCTATAGAAAGAGCTTTTATAATTACGTAAGTAACATAACCAGCAAATTTTCCTCAACCTTGTGATTATTCGGCAATTGGCCGGTATAGCCCACGACAGTCTTTCAAATTATTTCCAATGAGGTCTGGTAGAAGATGTGGACGAAATTAAAGTTTTAGTCGTGCGAGGGAAAAAAACCCTGGATGATAGTCCAAGGAAATTCCACGGAATTACGCAGGAACTGAAAATCCAATCCACATAATTGGCTCAGGCGGATTGCAGAAATTTTGAAGCCGAGAAACTTCTAGGCCAACCGAATTCCTATCAGTATCAGTCACTTGACAAGTAATTATTCGGCAACTTACGACAGCGTTAAAAGGCGACAAGTATTGAAAATAAATTTTAATTTCGTTTGGCGCGGCGAAATACGAATTTGGAAATTGTTGTTGCTTAATTGTTGGCCATCTACGATTCCATGGACATGGACATCTACGATTCTCATTTCATGGTGAAATGTCAGTGCTGAAACAAGACTAGGCACTCCTAGTAAATCTGGTCACAGACCAACTTGGTCCAAGGGGTTCAGGTATTCATACGAGTCATATATTTGAGCTAAGTTAGGCTTTTACAAGTCTATTTCAAAAGTTACAGTTTAGTCAGTCAAATGCAAAATAATACAGTGTCTGCTGCAGATTCCCCCCCCCCTACATATAATAGCTCTGCCGCTGCGTGATACTAACCCAAAAGGTTGCAACAAAAGACACAGTGGCGTTAACAAAAGGTGGTATTTTGGATTTGAATAAACCTGCTTTGCGTCAAGGTTTTCTATTTTGGTTAACACATTGTCGGGCCTTTCGTGCTCGGTCAATTGTGAACGTATACATCCATGTACATGTACTCTGTGACTTGTAGGCAAGTATGAGCTCCAATGCCGCAGCAACCAAATCACCGTTGGTATATGCCCTCACTTTTCTCTCTTTAATAGCCTCGTTACCTTTGCATTTTCCTGAGCTATTTATGATGAAGTGGAAAGGAATGTCGCTCAGTTTGCAATGAAGTGCGATACCTGTTTTCCAAAATGGCGATGTGACTTCTTTTTGGGATTGAAAAGTTTAACGCATATTTGCCCCTAAAATTACTGAAATAGAATGAGGGTACATCTGCCTTCAATTTGTTTGTCAGGAACACCTTGGGGAGTTGTGAATATCTTACCCACAAATATGAAGCCTGGAGGCGAGGCTTGCCGTTTGTGTCATTTATTAGTCTGCTATGGCGCGGACAGGCCAATTGAATAATACTGGGTTGCAAAAAAAAGGTGCACGAGAAAGTATTCGTCCGATAAGAGAGTACAACGGTAGTGCTAATCAACCGGTGCAATCACGACGCATTTACCTGAAGCCTTGATTTTGTTCCTTCGTATAAGTTTGTGCAATAAGGACGTTAAAAAGGACGCGCCTGCAGGACGTGTGCGGATCAAAATGAAATTGCATGTTTGATCACCATTTTGCGTTGCTACTAAAATTATCGGGCATAATATCAGCAATAATCATCTCACATCAAAATGTTAACATGTATGTGATGTGGGCTTGGTCATTGACTGCACAGAATGGTGCTATAGTTTTACCTGTGCCGCATCCAGTATATGCTCATTACTAATGGAGCCTGATAATGGTCCCTTCAGTTCGGGCAGTGGGGCCTTTATATCCTCCCTTTGCGCAGAAACACTTTTGCAGCACGACAACAAACATAATGCACAAGGAATTTATATTCTTTCGAATACAATTTAAAGACCAACAGCCATCATCGTCGACCACCAGCCCGCGGTGTTATTCATTGTGAATAGTCTTTGTTTAAGTGGGGATGCGTATGCACACTGTGCGCTCATCATCAGAATTGTTAAGCTACATCATAAATGCGTTACAAGACAAACATAGGTCACCACTACAAGTCAGAAGGCATGAACAAGGAAAGGTATCATCTCAGGGTTCTGAGCACTTTCATGAATTCACATTCCTTGATATTTCCCTATTACCTGAGAAATTTTCAAAATTTCACGAGAAATATTTTCACTTGAACGAGGTTGCAAGGAAGTTGGAGAAAGTAAAACACAGCCATTGTGAGGTGTGTGTTATGTACACTGCATAAACTATTTTAATACAGCCAGTCTGTCAATGGATAGTGCTTGGACACAATGACTCAAGACGCACACTCGCCAAACTGGCGAAAACCACTCCCTTTTGGGTCACCGTTGGATTCCCTGAGTTTATCCTGGATTAAAAAAAAAAGTGTTTTCCCAAAGTCGCTGTATTTTCCCTGGCATGTTCAAGGTTTTCCTTGATTTCCAGAGTAGCTACGAACCCAGCCAATATTGTCGCTTTTAATTTGAACTGCTAAAGAACGTTTTGAGACTGGATGATTTGCAATTGACATAGTCCAATGGGGATTTGTGGTGACTTACCAAACACGTACGCTGTATATTCCCTTAAGTCATACATGGGCGGATCTAGGCATATTTGCGGGGGGGGGGGGGTCAAGCCCATCACATTTTGTTTAAGGTCCGAATGATGCTGACAGGTGGACATTATAGGTATTTTTATTAGTACTATAAATATAACAATTTTTATATGTTTTGTGTCAGGGAAAGTGGGGGTTCGACCCCTCCATATTAACTAGGCATATGTCTGCATGCATGTGTAATCTTCATGGAATGACAGAATTATCACACTCTTGAAGCTGTTATCTAACACGATTTTATATTGATATTTTACTGATTTTTCACTAAAACCTAATATGAATGATGAAATAGCGAGCACTTGAAAACTCACGTTCAGTTCTAGGACGCAAATTTAATAAGATCATACTTAATGTATCAGATCTCAGATTGCAGTTGACAGCAATTTGAACATAAGGACAGACAGATCCAAGCAAGTAACAGTGCAAAGCATATTTCTTGCCCAAGCTCACATGAGACACATTTAAAACATGTTATTTAAGCCGGTCATGTCAAGAAAAGGAAAAAAAATAGGCCCACGTTCACAACATTACTTTACATTGTGGTAAATTTTACACCAACAAAGACAGACATATAACATGCACCAAGTAGGCAAAAACTTACCATTCTCGACACTCTAGCACTTTGGTGGTTTATGTACCAGGAAGCTACACTGCTCCACTATTTTGTGTCCAATATTCAACTGCACAAAGCTTGCCTGCCTACCCACAGACTGAATAATAATAAACTCAATCATGCGTTAAGGCCGCAGTAGGAAAATAAAGAGTGGGGTTTTGACGTACTGGTATGCTGGTAGGTCGTTTCATTTTTAGCGTATACAGATATGTTTTGGTTGGCTTACTAGGCGCTGCATATGCACGATTACAACACTCTACAAGGTTACAGACCAGTAAATAAACTTCCATAGACCCCAATGGTAAATGCTCCCACTTCAGAAATTTGGGGAAAATACTCATAACTCTCCAAGGTGTTCGAGGCACACATCAAATTAAAGCTTATTTCATCATCTTTCATTTTCTTTTCAATTTTTGGGGGTCAACAAATGACTTTTAGGAGAAATTTTCATCCGAAGATGATCACCCCTGAAAGTAGTCCTGAAGCCCATCGCCATTTTGAAAAACGATGCTTACACTCCATTGCAAAATAGAGCGCTCTAAGGGCCCCAATTTCATCCAAATTGAACGGAACTACAAGTTCACAGTCCTGTGTACGGCTTCCACCCATATTTTTTTTACAAACTCTCAAGTTCATGGCCCACAGCATGCTCAAATACTGAAGGATTTGAGGGCATGCAAATCGTGATTTGGCCGGCTTAGGCAATTTCGGACCGATTTACTGGTCTGCAACCTTTAAAGAGCGAAGTTTTGAAAAATTCCCCCAAACCACTTGTACGGCACGAGGAAGGATGGATGACTCATATTTCATCAAAAAATTGCGAGAAAAAATCTCTGACTGCGATTTCTGGCCTGAAAACAAGCCCTCTGTTTGCGGCTTCCTTGCTGTAGGGCGCCCCCAACGGGAGTTGATTGAGTTTTTGCTCATTCCAACCCCAAATTACCCCCCCCCCCCCTTTGTGCTTTCGAAATTGCTGTGACCGGACGACGGTCCATCAGCCCGATTCAGATTTTGGGCGCATTTGTTGCGGAACCGCCATTAGTGACCCCTTTTGAAACGCTGCCCCCGAAGTCCTGCCCCCCTGAAAAAAAACCACTGTCGTGGAATGTAAAGCGCAGGCGCACACATTTGACAACAAACGATAGAAGAAAGGCGCCATTTTGAGACTATAAAGAAGCGAAGTTTTGAAAAATTCCCCCAAACCACTTGTACGGCACGAGGAAGGATGGATGACTCATATTTCATCAAAAAATTGCGAGAAAAAATCTCTGACTGCGATTTCTGGCCTGAAAACAAGCCCTCTGTTTGCGGCTACCTTGCTGTAGGGCGCCCCCATCGGGAATTGATTGAATCTTGGCCCCTTCCAACCCCAAATACCGCCCCCCCCCCCCACCTTGTCCGCTCGAAATTGCTGTGATCGGACGACTGCCCATCAGCCCGATTCAGATTTTGGGCGCATTTGTTGCGGAACCGCCATTGGTGACCGCTATTGAAACGCTGCCCCCCCCCCCCCCAGGTCCCGCCCCCCCCCCCCCCCCCCCTGAAAAAAACCCACTGCCGTGGAATGTAAAGTGCAGGCGCACACATTTGACAACAAACGATGGAAGGAAGGCTATTTTGAAAATATAGGTTACAGACCAGTAAATAAACTTCCATAGACCCCAATGGTAAATGCTCCCAATTCAGAAATTCGGGAAAAATACTCACAACTCTCCAAGGTGTTCTAGACACACTTCAAATTAAAGCTTATTTCATCATCTTTCATTTTCTTTTCAATTTTCGGGGGGTCAACCAACGACTTTTAGGAAGGAAGGCGCTATTTTGAAAATATAGGTTACAGACCAGTAAATAAACTTCCATAGACCCCAATGGTAAATGCTCCCACTTCAGAAATTCGGGGAAAATACTCACAACTCTCCAAGGTGTTCGAGACACACATCAAATTAAAGCTTATTTCCTTTTCTTTTCAATTTTCGGGAGGTCAACTAATGACTTTTAGGAGAAATTTCCATCCGAAGATGATCACCCCTGAAAGTAGTCCTGAAGCCCATCGCCATTTTGAAAAACGATGCCTACACTCCATTGCAAAATAGAGCGCTTTAAGGGCCCCAATTTCATCCAAATTGAACGAAACTACAAGTTCACAGTCCTGTGCACGGCTTCCACCCATATTTTTTACAAACCCTCCAGTTCATGGCCCACAGTGTGCTCAAATACTGAAGATTTTGAGGGCATGCAAATCGTGATTTGGCCGGCTTAGGCAATTTCGGGCCGATTTACTGGTCTGCAACCACAACGTCACGTTATTGTAGAGGAACCTTTGTGTAACGAATACATCATCGCACACAATTGTGACACACTCCATAACATTTTGTAGCAGTGGCCCCAACTCAGCTTGGACAGTCCCAACTACAGTTGGCATGATGCTGTATTCAGGACATAGCAAATAGAAGCAGTTAAATGATCGTGGTCTGAGCTAAGACTGGTTTAAGTAAATTGGCGGGGCGCAATATCACTGAGTCATTAAAGTCATGCACTTTCAGCATGAGCTTTGCGAGGGGGCAAGGGGGTCGCTTGCCCCCCCCGCCCCGAAAAGCAAAAAAACAAACAAACAAACAAACAAACAAACAAACAAACAAACAGGAAGAACAAAGGAAGAAAAAAGAAAAGAAAAAGAGGCGCGAAGTCATTATGGAGTAAATTCAATGGGTTGAGGGGGGGGGGCAAAATGTCCCTGCCCCCTCTAAAACTTAAAAATCGAGAATATGTTGAGAAATACGAGAAATTTTGGGGAAAATGTGTTGTCCCCCTCTAGAAAAAATCCTGGCGACGCCCATGACATTCAGCCATTAAACATCCAATTTAATAGACAATTAATTGTACGATTGTTTTGATTTTGTCCCTAACGATTTCATTTCTCACTAGAAATTCACTTAAAGAAAGTCGTTGTGGTACTAATTAAGTGGTCGGGCACAACCCGACCACTCTTTGAAAACGTTCGTATTAATCTTTGTTTAAGTCTTTCTTTTTTTCCGTTCAATACTTTTCCGCGGGTTTTCTCCTAAACGGTTCATGATATGGACTTGTAACTTAAATTTAAATCGACCCTCATCTGGCGTCATCAGGTGTCAAATTACAAGTGGTTTTACCTGAAAAAGTTTCCAATCACTTTCACCTATGACTCTTGAACAAAATAATTAATGATGTATATATTGCATAATCAGATAGACCATTAATTGATAAACATTGTTTGTCATGTAAGTGAACTCGCTTGACCTTTACTTACGGGTCTACCGGAAGGTCAAAGTTAGGTGAATTCAAAATGAAGACTTAAGCCTGAAATCAAAACAAAGCAAATTTTCTTCCAAACCGTTTACGTTATGATCATAAGACTTAGTGTGAACTTGTACCATGTTACTAAAATAATATAAATTTTGTTTATCATGACGTCGCCAGGTATCAAATTACAAGCGATTTCAGTGCAAATTCTGACAAAATAGTTTGTGTTATATCTTTTGAACTAAATAGAGTATCGTGTTCGGTTTTTTGTGAGGTTCGTTTTTTGTGATGCCGTGAGAAAAATTTCTTGCGCCCGGACACAGAACTGCTTGACCTTTACTTCCGGTGTTATTGGAAGTGCAATAATATACAAATAATGAATGTTTGTGAGGGCAATGGTAAGAATAATTTCATGAGGTGACAGATGAAATGTTCCATTCCACGAGGCGAAGCCAAGTGGAATGGAAGATTTCATCTGTCACCGAATGAAATTATTCTTTCCATTGCACGAACGTGAAACATTCATTATTTGTTTTATATAACACCTGAATAAATCCTTGTCATCTGATTGGTTGACTTCTAAAAAGCCAATTTATTCAGGTTAAAAACTGTTTGAAAGTTCGACAAGTTTATCTTATTGATATTAATGCAAACTGTTTTACAGGTTTAAAACAATCAGATTCAATTAGCGCCACCACCAGCAGAAGTGACATCGTGCAATGGAAGTTCTATTCACAGTGCAATAGAACTTCCATTCCCCTTTGCGCTGCGCGCCACGCGCGCGCCTCGCGTTGGTAAGAATAATTCAATGACATGTGATCAACGATCCACCAATCAGATGACTGGGATTTATTTAGGTGTTGTATAAAACTGAATGTAACTGAATATAAAGCGTTAGCATTTTATTGCACGCATATAAATTATGAAAGTGTTTAGCGAGGAATGTCAGTCACAAAAACAGTGTGATGACATCATCATCCGAAAGGGCGCCCCTTAGCGGCACATAAAATAGATTTTGCTGAAGTTAAATTTAAAACCATTTATTCAAATTTTACCAAAATCGCCCCTTGATATTCTCTGATTAACAACAGATAACTTGGCAAGGTTTGAAATTCATGACGTCATCAGACCGAAAGTTACTTGAAGGAGAATTTGAAAACGATTATATTTTTAAAAAAGTACAATGTAATTCTATCATTTGATCCCTGTCGTAAATCTTCGGTCCCCAAATACCGACATCCATTACAATGTTCACATTTGCCTCTAAACACTGTGGCGTCATTTTTTAAACCCCGTCCGAAGATGTTAAAAAAATCGGGTATCAAATTAAAAGCAAATAAAGGCCAAATTTGTGAAAATAGTTTCAGTGAGAACGTTTCTCTGACGCTGAATTCAGGCCCAATTCAAAACATGATTCAGCAACTTTTGATTTGAAATCGAGTTGAAATCTAAAATGGTGTTTTTCTCGGAATATACAGCTGAAGCTGATCTAAAACTTCATCAGGTTAGTTGTTCAGCACCCTTTAAAATTTGGAGTACTTTTGTTGTTTCAAACGGATAAAATGCACAAATTACAAATGATGGACATATACCTTTAACGTCAAATACTGTCTTGAGCGAAATAAAATGAAGCAATAAGATTTGCACAGGAACTTTAATTTTCTTGGGTAAAAACATAAAGGAACTAAAAATTCATAAGATACAATTGCACCGAAAAGAGACTCTTAGGCTGTTTGAAGGGTCAGACCTCGTTGGTAAACGGCCAAAAGAAATAAATGTACATTATCGTCCCTCACCTTTGAATTTACTACCTTTTTTGAAGGCGTGGTAATGTTTTTGC